GTCAAAAGTTTTCGTATCATATCAAGAATAGTGCAATTTTTCCTCTCACATGCGCCATTTTGTTGGGGCTTATAAGCTGTTGTAAGTTGTCTTGATTCCATAGGTTTACAAAAATTTCCAAATTCATGTGAATTATATTCTCCACCATGATCCATGCTAGGAATTTTTATGGGATTGCCAACCTCTTTCTCAACAAGTGCTTTATAGCTTTTAAAAGCTAGAAAGACTTCGAATTTTTCTTGCAAAAAGTAAACCCAGATTTTTCGGCTATAATTGTCAAAGAAGGTAATTATATATCTTTAACCTCTATTAGAACACGGAGTTATTGGCCCGCAACTGTCAGAATGAACAAGCTCCAATGACATCTTCACTCTCCATGATTTTCCTTGTTGGAATTGATCATCGTATTGTTTGCTAACAACACAATCTTCACAGACTTGAAAAGAAGCTGAAATTTGAGGAAGACCCATCATCATATTCTTCCATTGTGGAGTCTTTAATCCAACAAAATTAAGATGCTCGTAGCAAAATGCTATATCCATTCATTATTCTTCAATCTTGTAGAAAATATGAGTGAGTGGTGTTGTGGAGATACAATGAAAACATTCGGTTGGCTGTCATGTTGATTTGAGCCACCAAGCCCAATTTTTCATCTTCAATTCTGCATACTCCATCTTTGATAAAGATCTTATATCCCTTTTCTTGTAGTTGACCAACACTAAGTAATTTTTTCTCAAATCTGGAACAAATAGAACATTAGAAATGGTTTGAATAGAACTTTTATTGGTCAGCAACCTTTCCTTTTCCTATAACAGAGACTTTAGAACCATCACTAAATTTCACAAAATCACGAAAAATTTCATCCACTTCAAAAAATTTAGACTTCTCTCCACACATATGGTTTCTACAACCTGTGTCCAAGTACCACAAATTCTTGTGGGTATCTTCCTTCACATGAGAGTCCATTAATAAAGACACTTCTTCTTCATTCTCCACAAAATGGGACTGCACACCATCATAATTCTTAAGGTTGGCTCGACGTTCTGACTTGTAATGGACATATTTGTGACACCTATAGCATTCATCTCTTGCTTTGTTTGCTGACTTCGATTCAAAATATGTTGAATGATTGTTGTCATGACCTCTTCCTCATCCTAGAGTATTAGAAAACTTATTATCTTCAAAAAAAAAAAAAAAAAAAAAGTTATAGGAGTATCTACCATAATTGTCGCCTCTGGCTTTTTCTCATCCTTGATCTCCTCTTTTTGATGTTGAATAATGATTATTAGTCGAGGCTTGTAATGCTTACTCCTCCTTATCTAGTCAATGCATTTTCTGCTTATGAACCAGTAAAGCACTTTGTAACTCATCAAGAAAAAGATAATCAATATCGTTTGATTCCTCAATGGAATAGACGACATAATTGAATTTTGTTGTCATGGAGCGACGCACCTTTTCAACAATGGTTACATCTTACAGTGTATCACCATGTATCCAATCTTAAAGCAATTGCCATCATCCTTAAGAAGTAATCTGAAATAGATTCTCCCACCTTCATATGTAGAGTTTCAAATTCACCATGAAGTGCTTGAAGTTGCATTCGTTTGGCCCCTGCATTTCCTTGATACTTTTTCTTCATAGAATCCCAAATATGCTTGCCAATATCTTTCTTAAAAATGGTTTCCAGAATTAAGCAATAAATGGCTTGGAACAAGTTGTTCTTTGCCTTAAGATCCTTCAATTTTAGCCATTCTTGCTCTGTCTTTTGCGCATCTTTCAGCACAATACCTGCTATTGGTTCTACTACTCCAGAATCAACAACTGTCCAGTATTCTTTGTTCCTTAAGAAGTTTTCCATGAGCATGCTCCAGTGGTCATAGTGATCATCAAAGTGTGTAATTGCAGGCTGTACAAAATTCTCAGAAGCCATGAAAGAAATTAATCACACGAGTGGAAAGAAGTAAGCTGCTATTTTAAAACACTCCCTCATGTGTTTACACTCGTGTTTTTCAACTTCGCCCTAATACCAATGATAATAAATGGACGCTTAACAAAGAAAGACTACTGCAAACAAAGAAAGCTACTGCATTCTTTAAATGGGCTCAAGAAAACAACAAAAGCCAATTAAAGGAATGAGAAAACTGAATGCATTGAAACCCTTTACAGAGTGGGCTATTTATAGTCATAGGATGAGTTAATTAAATCATTGCTCACTAATATTTAGAATATGTTACTACTTGCTCATCCAAGATTTAAAGGTAACTCACTCTCACTCACTTTTGTACAAAGTTACTCAACCATCATTCCATCTATCCACTTGGACAAAAACTTACACTTGGCGGATGGAAATCCTACGTGGCCATTAACGGTGTTAAAAATTGATGACAAATCACATCCCACCAAACACGTTCTCTTAAAAATTGGAAGAATCGTTCTTCCCCACCATCACCTCCACCTCCACCGCCTTATCACTGTATCATGTAAGAGAAATCAAAATTAATGCAGAAAATGCAAATTTGCATTCAAAAACTTGAAAACTCTGAATTTTTTCGTTATTCCTTTCACCAAATGCAAAATATTGGCTTCCTTCACATAAATTATCTGCCTGCTCAAAATTCCAATTTTAAGCTCAATGACTACACAATCTTGAGATAAAAATATAGCCCAAATGACAAATTTGCAGTCTTGCAGAGAAAACCCAGGAAAATGAAGGGTAATTTCTAGAGAAAAAACAGAAAAGAGGGCCTGAAATTCTTAGTCTTTAAGATCTGGGATTGTAACTAATCCCCACAAAATTCTATTTGCCTGTATGCAAATGAGTTTTACCTTCTTCACACCATATTCGTTGTGAAAACCAAGTGGCAGAGAAAGAGGAGTAGTTTGCAGGAAGTTTTATGAATAGAGATTAGAGACCATAGTCCGGGTGCAGGCGCTTGAGGAAAACAGTAATGGATGTTGCTGCTTCTTTGTATCCTTGTTATCGTCTTCCAACACCACTTTGGAGTGTATAAAATAAAGAATTTTTCCCCATGTGTCAATTTTCAACGGCCAGGTAAGATTTTCTATGCCATGTGTAATTTTTTGTCCAAGTGGATGAATGGAATTAACATAGGTGATGGATGGGTAACCTTCTACAAAAGTGAGTGAATAATTAGTTACATTTTATTCTTGAGTGAGCAAGTAGTAATCTGATCTAAATGTTGGTGAGCAATGGTTTAATTAACTCGTCATAGGACCTAACTAAATTTACAAAATAATCTACTAACAACCTAGTAAAGTAGGATTATTATAAAGATTAGGTAGAAAATAGCTAACTCCCTAATGACTAGGTAAAAGCTTTATTCACGCAAATAATTAATAATAAATTTCTAACAGTAAATACGCCCAATCCACTATTTTCTCAAGTTATTTTTCTTTTAAAATAGTTATCAATACCTCTATTTTCATATTTGAGCTTCTTCTCCGCATTCTAATTTAGAGAGAATTTTATTTTCATGTACAAGTAAGAAAAACCCCTTGAGCTGGTGAGTACTTTTACTATTACTTGCCTTATATGTATTATATGAAATTTAGAGCCCGTTTGATTCCCATTTTTCTAAGAATGAAAATGAAAAATATAGTCGTTATGGGACACACACAAGAGATAGAAAGTCAAATATGGTGGCTTGATATGATGGATAACGATCGTATTTTTCATTTTTAATCTAACATGCATGAAATTTTTAGTCTATAATTAATGATCTCTCAAGCTTGGTGATTGGTTCAAGCAAAGTTATGTGATTTATGATCTATGTGAATAATTTATGATTCATGAGCTTTTGTAATAGATGATGAAGTTATTCTACATGCACGAAGCTTTATGCTCATTTATGTGTACTAGTCGAGATTTGTTAAATGCATGAAGTGGGGATGCCGATTATTGGCTCTTTATATCTTGAAGTAATTTCACTTAAAGAAAAATGAATGATTTATGAACAATTTGAGTCATTAAGATACACATGCCAAGCACTGACGGATCTACGGGGACTGAGCTGTGCTACAGCCCATCCTCCCTCCAACCCAATTCATAGTTAAGGAAAAAAAAGCCTGTCGTAAAATTGCTCTTGGATCCGCCCCTGAAGCCAAGAGATGCATGCATGTCCATTTTGAGCTCGTCGTCTATTTTATTATGTTAAAGATTATAATTATGCTTATGTCGTGGGATACCTTTGGGTACCTAGGAAAGACCTAAATGATTTTTATCCATTCAAGACTACCATCTAATTTTGCTTTAGACTTTCGTTAAAATCGCATTTATTCAAGTGTTTCATGTATGCATGGCTTGTAATGGACTTGACCATAGTTACTCTTTTTTATCTAATGATAATGATTTTAATGGCATTTTATTAAAGATAGTGAATTAGTTACATCTCTAGTCCTTTGATCAAGCCTTGTGGAGTTTTTGAGTTGGGTAGTGATTATCTCTTGATTTTTGCTCATGAATTTATTTTAAATCCTGACTTATTGTGGCTTTGAAAAGAAAGGTAGAATAAAAAAACAACGTTTTTGTTATGTCTTTCACTCAAGTTTAAATTTACTTCTTTTTTATTATTCGCATCTGCTCTTTTAATTAAACAAAGAACAAATCCTAAGCATAGATGCTGACTCAAAATAATATAGACTATTTTCGACAAGAAAAAGTCATTTTAAACAAGCTTACGAATCATATTTAATAAGAGATCACAACTTGCTCTTTTCGAGTTTTCTCGCGAGTACAATACCATCCCCTTAAAAATTAAACTAGTTCTGATTAGTTGCTCGACAAGTCTCAATTGAATATATCCCCCTAAATATCAATACCAATAGCAAATCTTCGTAATTGAATACCTATGACAGTTGTAAAAAATCACATAAAATTAAAAAATTAAAATCAAAGTCTTGCTGCAGTGATTCAAGAAAGGAACAATACCCATGAAGGAACTACCCTTCATTTTATCGAGAGAAATTTCTCACACAGTTAGTTACTGCTCTAATAGAAATCAAAACCTTTCATATTTCAATTTAGAACTGTTGTAACTTAAACATGTTATTTTTTCTAGCCAGGAAAATAATAAGTTTATGGTTATGCACAAATCTACTTCCCTATATTATACATTTGCCTTAACATATGTTCTGGGTACAATCTAACTCTTCAAAAATCGAAAACTGAAATATAAATAGACCTAGATTGCAACTAAAGCCAAATCATGACTAAATTTGCAGAATGAAAATGAAGTACAGAAAACAGTTGTCTACATCTCATGTCCTTGATCTTAGCTTCTTTCAGGTCCTACTTCTATCCACTTGAATAATTCCTGGATCTGATGTAGATAGAATCTGGGGCATTGACATACCACCAGATACAACAATTTCTGTATACAAAGCATACATAACAAGGTTAAACGTTGACACATGAGATCTATTAGTAGTCGCGTAATATGCGTGTGAATTTGCATGGCATAATACACCGTGCAATCATAAAAAAGTAACAAGGAAAGACACTCACCGATTCCCTCCCTTACAGACAAGTTTGGTCTAATAACGTCATTGGAGTTTACGAGGAATACATCACCTATGTAAAGATGGTTTGTTGGGATATAAACGCAGCAAAGCTCTTCCTCTCCTGAATAATTCTGAATTTAGAAGAAAATACATGAGAACTTAATCGTTACATGAATTCTATGACCACATCTAATAAATGAATAAATAAATGTTAGCCACTGCTTTCAGGTGACCAATCAACCTATAAACAGCTCATTTTATATCACACAATCATTTGCCCATAAAGTGCCACCTGCTTTACAAAAACCTATACTCCCCGTTTGACCAGTCGATTGAGTTCCTAATGTAAGCTTTGTTTCCCTATATTAACATACAAGAGAGGAACAAAATCCACCCACACCATGCATAAAATATTTTGCTATGTTAAGGTCAAATTACGCTGCTGATTGAATAGATTGCACCATTATTTCATAAGAAAATAAATCTGGTAGACTAGCCTGAGCAGATATTTGAGGGGTTAATGAAGCAGTAATCATTGACCTGCCAAGTGCCAACTTAGACTGGGCAATCTTACCAGCAACAGATTCAATGCATCGGCCACTTCTGCTGAATCTTTATGGCTTAAGAATCTCTCTCAATGAGGTTTAGCTTCTCTCTCTCTCTCTGGTAAAATCCATTGTATGCATATGAGAGTTTTTAAACCACTTATCTATTTAAAAATGGTGGGTTTGATATTGTCCGCTACCCTAGTATATTAATAGAAAGAAATAATACGAGGGGAACGTTTTACCTCCAATGGCAAAACAAAGAGATATATAGAAAGCTAACAATACAGGCAAAAATTTACAAAGAAAAGGAAATAAAACTATACTCTAAAATTTGGAAGTCCTCATTTGTCTAGCCTGATCAGTGAGATTTAGCTTAAATGTAACACACTTTCCTAGATTTGATTCACTATAGGTTTACAAGCTAGAAAACATTAACTGCATGAAAGAAAGGAAATTTACAATAGCACAAACATGAGAAAGAACCAACTTCAGGGACAAATATCTTAGATGAGAGGACGATTTACTAAAATATGTAAGAAGCAGCTCACCTGGAGGGTGACAAATGAAGTGATGAACCCAAATGCATATTCACCAATACGTGGATGCCTTATAATGGCCACTTCCTTGAAGGCTTGTGTGTTCTGATCTGCAATAATATTGAAAAGAACAACTGGTAATCCTTTCGTAGTGGAAACTCAACGCTCAAGAAAACCACAAAGTAAACTAAAACAAAGCACACCTGGAGATATGGCAGCACTAATCTGCTTGGAGGCATTGTAAATATGACGAACAAATGGCATACGCTTGATGAACCACTCGCCAAGGCTCAACACAGATGCCCCCAACCATGATGACATAAACACTCCAACCAAGAAAATAAAGCTGATGGAAGTAACAAACCCTAGACCTAATTAAAGAAATAAGAGCAAGCATTAACAGTAAAGAGACATAAAAGGGACATAAAAATGTTCGCCAAGATATTTATCATAAATATCATATACATCAGTCAAAAGGCGCTATTAAAAATATTGACAACTTCTTACAGTTTCAAAAGGAAATCAATACTCATAGTCAATTTTTGTGGGTCATACCGTAGTTCTAATTATTAATTCTACCGATAAATAAAGAATAATGAAAATTACGAACTACAGTAATCAACAAGGTATTGAAGTGACACGATAATGCTAGACAACACACTCCCACTTATAACTCATTGGTATTAGATAAAGGAGCAATATGATTACCAAAGATCTCAATTCCAAGTTGCTCGTAAATTGGAGAGAAGAACCCATCAACAAAATGAATAAACCACCACGTTACATAGAAAGTGATTGCTATGGGGAAGAGGATGACACTGCAAAAGGATAGAGTTAGCAAATCCTATAACAGAGAAGAGAAAACAAACAGGACTCTGTTTTAAGAGAAGATAGTTCTTGCACAATCCCATTTCATTTGGAATGTACAATAGAGACCTAAGCAAAGAGTTCAATGATAAATGATATATCCTTCTATCAACGCAAGCAAAAGTCAGGAAATAATTAAAGCATCAAAAGCATAAAACCTCCAATATTTATTTGGAGGATGAGGCTTGTATAGGCATAGGAACTTGATCGGCCTTGTGGAATGAGTTACAGCCCTTTCTTCTTTTTCTAAATATAAACAGAGAACGGTAATGTTTTCATTTCCATGGCACCATTGCTATCCATGGAACAGGTAAAATAGTCGAGCCTAAATTCAAAGACTAATTTTACAACAACTATGTCAATGAAACTACAACCCTTCAACCATCAGTTCAAATTCAATCTTACCGTAGTTGGAAATGATTTCTTCAAAAAGATCAGTCCATATCTCAAGCAATTATATAAGCTATTCAGCAAGTATAAGATCCTATATAGCAATTACAGTAAGTCTTACTATCTGCAACTGGTTTTGATCATTACCGCTGTATGCTCAGGTTTTAGCCTAAAGTTTGTTCATTCATTGTGTTTTCCAATTTCAGAAAATAGAACATGTTTAAACCTTTAAAAAAATAAAAGTATTGCACCAATCCACTCACTCCTCCCTCATTACTCTTTGTTCCACTAAAACATATTAGAAACTTAATGGTATGAATGAAGTGTAGAAACTTTTGCGCTCCCCCAACCAAATTTTATGCATTTGTACTGTATAAAGATGGCCAAGAAGTACCGCTTCCAGTCATTTCAACCTACAGCCTAAAAGATTAGATCAGAGGATACTGAAATGTGACAGTTGAATTTAAAAAATGTAAGTATTTAGCGAACAAGATGAGTTATACAATAACAAATTGTACTCTACTTGTGCTCACCATCCAGTCATGAACTTTTTTGAGGCCCAGCTCCTAACAACTTTGTAAAAAGTCTGCAAGAAAAATTGAAATTAGTATTTCTCAGAGGACAGTAAATAGAAAGGTTCAACCAAGGACAGAAGGATATTCTATCTTATCTGCCTGAGGATGTTACGGCAGAAACAAGCAGGAGACAAAATTGAAAAACAAATATGATTTCTGCATTCAAGCGCAAGAACCCCCTCCCCCCTAAAAAAAAAAAAAATCCAACCCCAACCTAAATACACATATCCATTGTGAGAGATAGAGTTGAGTAGAAAATTTTGCGAGTATGAGAAACCAAGACCCCAGAAAACAATAGTGAATGCCCACCTAAAAATGCTTGTGGAAGCCACAATAATCAAATTTATTAGACATGCATAGATTTTAACGGGAACTTTTCAAAATAAAAATCTCACCCAGAAGCTGAAATTGTTATAAGTCTGTTAACTAGATTTCCATGTTGGGATTCCAATAAGGATTTAAGAGAAAAGTTAACAGTTATAAGTAATAATTAATAGCTGCATCAAAAATTTCATGTGAAACATTTATACACAGAAACAAAACTTTGATTGCAAATGCCTCTACGCAGCCCATGCATACATAGAGAAAACCATAAATGTAAAATGGAAAGCAAGTCGTACTTCACCAGTCAAGGAAACTGATCATTTAAGGTACTGAACGATACAAAGATTAACAAACATCAGTTATAGGGCTAAGAAAACCATTTCAAGTAAATCAAAAGTGCTGCAAGTTAAATGATTCATACACAGAATGAGTCTGGTGAAATGATTCATACACAGAATTAGCATGTCCCACTCCAATTTTGAGGCAATAAAATAATGCTCTTTTGCTTGATCATTTCATCAAAAATAAGTTAAGCAAATTATAAACCAAATTACATAGGGAAAAAAAATTATTAAAGATAGAAAAGAAATCAAATTTCCAAGCACTCCTTTGCAGGGTTACCAAAATAATCCCATCGGAAACCAAATTTCCTTAGCATATCCTTTTCTACAATCTCGCCGTTTTTGTCCCGTCCCCCTAATACACCCTCCTCGGAAAAAGGTTATGTCCAAAATTGGATTAAGCAATCGGCAAAAAGACACAAAGATTACCCATCTCACAAATAACCCATCAATCGAACCAAAGTAGCAAGTACCCTAAAATCCACAGAACAATCAACGGAAGCAATTCATTTGTTCATTACCCAGAAAAGAAAGATATAACGAACAATAAATACCTCGCGACCAGATTGAAGGTGAGAAGAGGCAGCGGAGGGGGAAGGCTTGGAGGAGGAAGAGGCGTCATCATCGTGGTCAACAGAGTCGGCGACCGGTATGAGAAGCTCTCGATCTCTTTCTCTGCTGCTGTTTCCCATTACCGCCCCCATCATCCCCGATTTCTCATCTCCCATATGACCTCTTTCTTTTTCACACACACACTAATCTTTTTTCTACAGCGCGGGATAACAGATTTCAGTATTTCACGCAATTCTCTCTCTCCCTCTCTCGCTGTAACATTTTCTGCTACATTTAGACCGTGTTTGGGGGTAAACCTTAAAAAAATTGTAAATCTACTTATTACAAACCTCTTAGCTAAAAAAATATTTTGATAACTTATTTTTCAGTTGAAAGAAGGAAAAAAAAAATAAAAATTCATAATTTGATGTTGTACTGAAAAAAGTGACCAATTATGGTGAGACTCGAATCTCACGTTTTTAAAGAAAGTCAAGTCCTAAACGATATTTGAAGTCTTCATTTATCATCGCAACAATATTTTTCGTGATTTGTTTTAGGGTATGTTCAATAGGAAGTCCGCTTTCACTTTTGCTTCTGCTTTTTATAGTATCGATTTTTTGATGAAACTATCTTAAATCAGCTTCTTCCTAAAACAAATCAATTCAGTAAAATAATTCAAATATGTTTAACAGTTAAAGAGAAACTTCTTAGTTTTAGAGATAATTTTTTGACTTTTCAAGAGTCATTCCAAATGGACCTCGATTTAATTATTTTTGCATTAGAGAATAAATTTAGAACTCCACTATATGGACATCCTTATTTTGACCAATATATTCTAACTTTTATGAAGAAAAAATATGAAATTGTGACAGTATAAAAATTAATAGATAATTATTGATTTAAATCAGATTTTAATTTAAGTTAAAGTCAAACAATCAATTTTAGTCACATATTTCATGGATCCCACAACTTTTCAACCACACATTTCAAAAACTTCTATTAAAATCTACTAAAAATTTACTTATAATCCTTACCAAACAGGGGCATTTATATGGTATTTGTAGCTATAGGTGTTAGAGAAATAATAGAAATTAAATTCCAAAACTTCATGTTCATAAACTTGTTTGATGACCAACAATAATAATCCACATTCATCAAAGTAACGCCCACTATCCAAAATAATGACCATTATTTCACATATTGACAACTACCCCAATTCAATTCAATCATAAAGTGTAATGTAACTCCAACCTTTCATTTTCTTAAATAACATTATGCAGTTTATATTATAATGTATACCATTTCTGCAGCTCATATATTACTAATTATTATTAATTTTTTGAAAATATATTTGATCAAAAGATAATGGTGCGTTTATTTTGCTGTTTTCAGACCGTTTTCAATATTCAATTTTGCAAAATGTTAAAAAAGTGTTTGATTTGATATTTTTGAAATTATATTTTCGAAAACGAAACTAAATTTATAGTAGAAAACTCAAAATGTATTTTTAACGATTTAAGTGTTTTTAGTGAAAAGTCTAAAACATACAAAACATGGAAATAAAAGTTAATTTTTTAATTAAATAAAATTTTAAAAATTAAAAATATAAAATTTCAAAGAATAAAATAAAAAATCTAAAAAAATAAAGAATAAAAATTTTGAAAAAAATGAAATTATAAAATTTCTAGTAAAATAAAATATAAAAATAGTCCTAGTTTTATATAAAAATTCTTAAAAAATTATTTAAAATGAACACATATAAAATATGGACCTTACTACATACATGTACGTCAAGTTTTACATAATGGATTACATAACGTCACATGTCACTTTATCATTTATTAGTTTAAAAGACAATTAAATTTTTTATTCAATCCTTTCCCTCCACGTCATTATATATATAATATTAATACAAAATTGTTCTATTTTTATCGAATAATCGAATTTCATAGACTAAAATATTATAAAACAATTTTTCAAAATTTCAAACCAATAGTTTTTCTAATTGTCTGTTTTAAAAAATAATTTTTCAAAATGGTAAACTAAACACGTTTTTAACAATTTCAAAATAGACTCTCAAAACATAAAACTAAAAATGAACTTAAAACTTAAAATTGAAACACAAATCAAACGGCCCCAAGGTGTGACTCTATATTCAACCCCCATTAGTTGATAAACAATCTTAGCCGTCAGTAATGTCCACGAACTTGAACTATGATTTACTAGTGGAAATAAAGAATTATTGCTCAGACATAATAATAATCAATTATGCTATATGTACATCATATTCGACATCATTGCTTACATTGTGTCACGTGGCAACACACCATTCATCAGTTAAAAAAAAGTGTTTTCCCATCTACAATTTTTTGAAAACACAAAGCAAAAAAAGATGTAAACCATAGAATGTACACTTAGCATTATTCAATAATAATACAGATGTTTCCATGAACTTTAATGACTAGCACGTTATGATCTTGAACCACTCACTAATGTCGGTAAGAACTTAGTTAGAGAGATGCATCATTGGAAAAATTAATGAAATTACATTCTCCCACATATGTCGAGAGCAAATATTTGTTATAAAGGAAAAGTTTCGAGGACTTTACCTCTAGTCGATATGGCTGAATTTCAATAGCAACGCAAAGAGCTTTAAAAGTTCAACGACAATTGAAAAATATTTGAGAAAATTTTGTATCAATTGTGATATTTAATCCGACATTCGTTAAAACTATAAACCTATGCCAATGCCACTCAATAAAAGAAAAAATTTAAAATGTGCCATACTTTTTTGATGTGCTGGGCAAGTCCTCTGAAAAATAATTTGAGCCGATACGATGCAATACCGTTAACGCCTCATTAAAAGAAACAATTGAATTTCGCAAATTTGGAATTATTGACAACATTGATCCCCTCTTTGAGCTACATTATAATTGAATTTTGAAGAAATGTATTTTGGAATAGTATTTTTTTTCTTGAAAATGTGTTCTAAAAATAAATGAAAAGTTTTGAATTTACGTGTAATATTATTTTATTGAAAAATATGTAATTGATAAGAAGAAAAAGAAAAAGAAAAAGAAATTATAATTTCAATGATGACAAAAAAAAGGTTAATTCTTATATGAAGTACCCGACGAGGATCTGAAATTCATGATCATATGTAAGATGTTATGCCCATAATCATTTTAGTCCCATTTATTTTCTCCGCCCTTGTTTGAGCATTCATTCTTTTGAAGAAAATGCATTTTTCAATAGTATTTTGATATCCTTTTAACTACACATTCTTAAATAAAATAATATTACACGCAAATTCAAAATATTCCTTATTTTTTAACTATACATTTACTATCAATACACTATTCAAAAATTCATTTTTTTCCCAAACTGGGGTTCAAACAAGGGCTCAAATTTATTTTTAATCACATGTTCTTTCATAAAATAATTTCACTTAAACTCAAAACTTTTTCATATTTTTTAACTACACATTCTTCAAAAAAATTACTATTACAAAATCTATTTATCTCCAAAAAGAGGCTCAAATAGGGGCTTTATTTTGACATGGATTATATGCTCGTTTGACACCCTTTTAAATTTTGAACGTTGCTTCGTGGACAACAATGGGGACAAGGTCTGGGACAGGCGCGCCACATGGTACCCCCTATTGGAGGGGTGCCGATCAAGGGGGGGCACCACTGTTCCAAACCCAGTCCCCATCCCCTATCCATATGATTTTTCCCGACCATGTGGCACCCCTGTCCGAAACCCGAAACCCTGTCTCCATCCCCTGTCCATATGATTTTTCCCTTAAATTTTATTACATTTTTCTTTTTCTTTTTTTTTTTGCTACCACATTCTTCAATAAAACAATAATACAGGTAATTCAAAAAAAAATTCTTCCTTTTTAACCATACATTCTCTCAAAAAATACTAATTCCATAATACATTTTACCAAAATTTCTCATCATAATGTGTGTCAAATAGATTACAAAAAAATTATAGTTCAAGTCCCTAATCTACTGTAATTATAGTAAGGGGGTCTTCAACCTTCAATTTACAGTGAGTCCTAATCTTTCCGTTTTATATGTACCAATAGAAGATTTCTGTCTAAATAGACGTTAGAATGGCATTTGATAATCACTTTATCGATTTTTTAAATGGTAAAACAGACACACTTAAATTGAAGAATAAAGTACACTTAATTTGAAAAATAAAATAAAATACACTCATTTGTTTACTATTTAATATTAAAAGTATACTTTTTGCCACAGTATTAGAAATATCATTTTGAAAGGGATTCTTTTGCAGTCACTAATTTATATATATATATATATATATATAGACAAGAAAGAGTCAATTAGATAACTAACTCATTTCTTGGATCAAGGCATTCAAGAAGAGTCAGGATTTCAATTATTGAACCTAAAAAACACTTGCAATAAAATTTATAAACTTTAGAAATTAATGTATCAGTGAATATGGCAAAATGTAGCAGACTCTACTCAGTCCTAGCTAAAAATGGGCTCTATATCAGGTTTTTGCCGGTGAACCAAAGATCAGCCTAATATTATAGAGATCAGCGTATTTCTGTGTAAATATCTCGTCCTAATCATTTTACATCTCGTTAGTTTTTTGTATTACAACCCCGTTTTCACAGCGAACGCTGGGGGCCGATATTTTTTGAATTTGGGTCATTATTGGCAGCAATATTACCTATTGGAGATGTCCTGGCTGGTTTAAGTTGAACACCAACTTTTCAACACCATTGCTATTTGGTTGCCGTGGTCTCCTGATATCAGTTCTCGCATTTTTTGTGCCATTGCTGGTTAGCTCATTTTGCTGATGTAATTCTGTTTGTGCCAACGACGAATACTTCATTTCTGCATGTACAACAAATGAGTCAGTATTTTTTTTTTTTTTTTTGCAAATGGAGAATGAAAAGAATACATGTATAGGACCAAATGCAAATGAAGAGGAAACGTAAACTAGCCTTTTATTTCTCCTAAAGTGATGAGTCTATTAAGGCAATCACGAAATTTTGTCAAAACAATTCTTTCTTGCTCTGCATAGGTTTCACTCAGGTCTTGCCTATTCAGCAACTGCGTAGTTACACTACTATGGCCTGATAGCTCATTAGAGGAGGCAGCAGGAGTAAATATTGTATCTTGTTCATCGCACATTAGAGCTAATGTACTGGGAGACATTGGCCTTTCTTTTGAGTCGCCAGCTCCGTTGGAAGTATACTCCTCAGAGTTTGTATCAGCCTGGTTGCGACTTGAGAGATCATCAATCAAAGGTTTATCTGCTCCAGCATTCTTTGGGGATTGACATTGATCTTGCGCTGACGAAGCCGCCAAGGTTTCTCGAGAGTTCTCTGCCTGTTTTTCTGCTGCTTTTCTTTCATCTGGAAGAATTAAAATTATTTACCTCATTTTCAGGTACTGGTAAAGGGAGTAATTTATTTACATCCATCGATAAGCAATAAGCACTTATTGTACTTAATCAACGCTTTTGAAATGCCACAAAAAATTATTGCTTTGTTGTGGAAGCAAATATATTGTACTACTACATCTAAAAGTTTAAGCTATGAGAAAAGGACATATTCAAATTTACTCTTCATCCCAACCCATCAGATGTAGCCAGATTCGTTATTTATTAAGGCCTGATAGATGAATAGTGCCAAGACCTGAAAACTCAGGGCCTGTCTGCATTCTTTTACTAAATTGAACTATCCATCTAAAAATGTTAAGCTTTTAGAAATGGGGCATGTATATTTAAATAAAATTTACCCTCAACACAACATAGTAAATATTTTCCTTGAAAGTTGATACCAAAAGCAATCTTTTCAGATTGCATTACTTTGATCATCCTATATGCTTTAACTGCACAAGAAATTGATACTTGGACAAGGACATAGGGCCTACATATTAAAGTAAAATAAAATAAACTTGACAGACTATTTAAATAATATATTGCACTGGACTTGTTTTTCACAACAGAAGTATAAAAACAAGCTTTTCCATCCATGAACTAGAGAGAGGTTTGAAATTAATGTTTTACCTTGTCTAGGTGTCTGAGATTTCCTCACAGATTAATGAATAACAAGACTGAACATGCGTGCAAAAATCTATGGAACAGGGCCTTCGTAAGTTGTTATTACGTAAACCAAGTGTACTCAGATAACTAAAAAAAAAAAAAATCCGAGAAATTGGAAATAGAAACGAGATTGATTTAGATTCCACATGCAGGCAAACTTTAGTAAGAAGTAATAATAGAATTAGAAAGAGAGCTCATTAATAACAAGAGGTACCAGTGTAAATTTTCACGTGTAAATACTATGAATTTTTCTTTTCAAATTTGTTTGGAAAGAGAGAGACAATAGCTCTCCTGACTACTATTATGACTTGCTTTTGGTTGTTCTAGACAATCCAAAACACATTATAATTCAGTAGAGACACACTCCGGTATCGAAAGGTGGTTCGTAATAAATTCTATGGGATCTAACTTGCTCAAAACTATTGAAGGAATTGTGAGCCAAGTTTTTGCTAGAAATCTTTCATGAAATTATCTGGCCTTAAATGTATTATTTTACAGTGTTAGCTTGTGTATTTGACAATGGTTTTCTGAAACTTCCATCTTCTTGTTAATATTGTGAAGGAATTTTTCTCACAGATCATTTCTGGCAAGTAGAGTGAGCTTCTTATAGACAATAAGAACTAAGATGTCAAGATAATTTCAAATAGTAACATTGATTAGAGCAACTTGGGAGTCATCACAAATCTATATGTACCTGCAAGAATCTTGGCAGCTTCTCCAGAGTACACCAAAACTGAGCAAAGTTCCTTCAAGTCCTGGGGCTGAATGATGCCAGCTAGGAGAGATCTTCAGACGTAATACACTTGTTAGTTGTCTGAACTAGTACTGAAGAATGACTTTTCAGAGGGAATGTAGTATTTATACCTGTAGGTAAATTTTGAAGGGCCCAAAGTTAATGCATTACCAGCAAAAGCACCAGGAATCGATGGCAATGAAGAGGAAGGTAAAGAAGCATTTATTTGGTCTGCCTGTAAATAGAAAGAAAGTATTCTTCAGATAAAAGTCAAATGATTTTCCACCATATCTAGCAAGTGCATCATTGTTTAACAACATAAATTATACTTACCTGTTGAAATTGCCGGATCTTGTGCACTGGATCTTTAACTGTTGATCCAAAGAAGAGGTCCTGACCCTTTCTTTTCTTGTTAACGGGAGGAGATCCATATCCAGAGGATCCAACAGCCCCAGTGATCGCAGCATTTGCTGCCTGCTGGATGTATGCCATGTCGTGGGCATGATCTCCATGAAACAAAGCCTGCCTCTCTTCACTTCCCTCATAATTTTTGCAGTCCAAGCATTTACAGTTTTCAGAACAAAGAATATTTGCTTGGAAGCACTCACAATACTTCTTGAGACATCCTGATTTCTTGCAGTGGCATCCTTTGTTATGCTTTGCCAAGACTACACCTTCTCCAGTCTCCTCCTGAATATTTCAAATCAGTTCATATCTTGCCAAATATATCAAAAAATAAAATAAAAATGCGAGTTTAGGATGCATTGAAATGAATAATAATGTTGGTTTCTTAAAAAACACAGCCCACTGTGGTTATTAGATAAATGACATTGAAGTTCAATTATAGTATATCAATCAATGCCAAGGAAATGGTTTTCGTGTTCAATCAATGATGGTATATTTTCCACAAGCAGCAACGGTTTATGCCAATAAACTCGGGATCAACTACACGTATCCTTTTTTTGCCAATCCATTTTATCCAATTCTACTTTTACAAAAAGGTCCAATAAAAATCAAAAGTTTTGTTTCCACATCATGCCATTTAAGATTTGTTCCACCTCTCTCACTTCTAAAATGCTCCACAAAGATCACATCACTCTTGTGAAGATCTTCCTTGGTCCACGAAAAATATTATTGAGATCATTTGAGTCATCCTTTAATTCATGCTCACCTGGCTTCACCTCTTTTTATTATATTTCTTATTTCTTATATTATAGATTCAAGTATAGCAACATATCCATCTCAATGTTCTCCCCTATTCAAAGTACATTATATGGACATTCTGCGTTAGTGTCCCAACACTCAATAGCATAAAACTTAGTTGATGTAATAATCATTTATTCATTTTCTAGATCTGACGTTTTAACTTGACAAGTAACTTCAATCTTGCAAAACCATCTATTATGTCTCCATTTCATTCAACCAAATCTCAACCCATGCATTACATCCTGTTTAAGTCTTATTATGAACATTTCAACCTAAATACCTATATAGTCACTCTTTTGAACAACATAATCCTTTATTTCACAATTTAATGATCATCCGTATTCTCTATTATGACAAAGAATATTCTCCGTCTTCCATTTTAGTAAACCTAAACCAAAAGCCTTTATATTAGGGCTGGACAAAATTTCCGAACCAAATCGAGTGGTTCTTCTTAAGTTAAATACTCGAACGGATATCTGAATCCAGAACCGACGGGTTCAATTCGGTTCTCAATTTTAAATCAAGGCCCGAATAACCAAATAAGAACCGAATCTCCTTAATTTTTTTAATTATTTTATTTTAAATAAGTAAAATTATTTTATTTTTTCTAAATAAATTTGTTAACTAGTTAACATAGAGTTCAAACCAAAAAATATGATTTCCCGATTTTCAATTTTTCAGTTCAGAGCCAACTTAATCAAATTGATCTAAGTTTTATCCAACTGTTACTCTACCGTAGTGTCGTTTCTACCGTTCTGGAGAAATCGAATTAAAGCTCGACAACGCTTCTCTTAATTATTTTTGAGCTCACTATCTTCTTCTTTCTGTGATTTTAACAATCAAATATGTGAAGAACTCAACAAAGAGAGACGCAAAAAACACATAAGATTGGACTACGTTATTTTTTAAGAGTTAAGATTAAGCATATCATTAATTGAATTAATGTAACTTTATAAATATTAAAAAATTTAATTATAATACGGAACCTAAGAACTGAATGGAACAAAACCAAATCGAACTGAACCGAATGAAACCGAACCCGAACGATTCCATAATTAAATTTGGATCTGACGGTTCCACTTGCTAAATACCCAAAAATTTCGGGTCAATTCGATTCTCGTTAGAATCGAACCAGACCATGTCCAGTCTTACTTTATATTTCAAAGCGCTTTTTCAAATTTCTAACATACGATTCATCACCCTCATAGTCAGGTTGACTAAAACTATAACATCAGTTAATGACATATAACTAAAGAACCTCATCTTAGATATACCTATTAAAATTTTCCACAACTAAAGCAAAAGATGAAGATTCTATGTGGAACCTTGATGCAAACCTATAATAATAAGATATACTACTTACCCTACTAGATATCATACACACCCTTAATAATAGTTATATATCCAATTGAATTAATTTTCCTCAAACATCCACTGTAGACTCTAAAACCGGAGACCTGTATTTTGGTAAACAGTGGCCAAGGCGTGGTCAGCAGTCTCTTGCCCTTAAAAGGGGCCTTTTGCTCACCGATGAAATAACAACCCTCCACATGGATCGTAGGTACTCCTAAGAGCTGAACTAAAGCTGGCCATTTCGAGGTCAAGTGCTTTAACAATTACCCAAAAAAAGTTCACACGACAACTAGCAAGCTTCCAAATTCGGGAACAATTGAACATCCTGCTCATGAGCCACCAAGTACCAATCTCACAACAGTGTCGAAGCAAAAGGATCAATTCTTTACTTACTGATTGTTCACGAGTCGAACTCATCTACCATATAATTTTCCTAGATCAATATAACAAGATTGCATGGAATTTTACTAATTTATCCAGCAACCACCTAAGTACATGAACTAATTCGCTAAAACCATTAAATTACACTTTGAACTATGCTTAATCACAACCTTCATAAATTTTTATTATGACTCATAAGCCTAACACCTTGGCAGATTGTATAGTCTCTAATATATCACCAATTCTCCATTCATTTGGTATTCTTTATTCTTTAAGATCCCAGAACTACATGGACAAAAAATTGCTTGTCAAAACATGGGTGTCAATAGTAAATTAGAGTAAATCTCAAGAATATGACACGTATAGAAAAATAAATATAAAAATTGGGTACAATTACAAGGAGCATATTCGCACAGAAAGAGACTCGGCTTGTTCTAAATTAAACATCTTTTATAAATAATTGTCGATATCATCAGAAAACTATTTTCAACTCGAGCATCCAATCATTTATGCTTCTGCCAAAGTGTGTTTGATGTCTTCCATTGGCAGGATAACTTTATAATAAAACGAAAAATAATCATGAAGAGAAAAATTAGTTGTGAAAACTTTTTTTTTTGTGCTTAAATACAACTTTGATGAACCATACATGCAAAGGGATTTAAAGATAAACAATATCAGGTTTTAGGGTATCATCTTAAGACATCATTGTATAGATTGAAGTAATCGTCAAGGCAATGGTTCAAAAGGTTTGAATCCATAGTACTAAAGATTAGCTTCAAGAGAAGTAATTTATGATAGCAGCACGAAATACCTAAGGACAGAAAATTGGGAAGCTACCTATCTACTACTATACGTAGATGATACACCCATAGTTGGGTAAGACGTAGGGGACATACAAAAGACAAAAAGGACATTTAGGGCCGAATTTAATGACTTTCGTCAGGCTGTAAAGCATAAAGATACTAGGGATGGATATTAAAAGGAACAAAGAATAGCATAGTGCGTTCTTGAGTCAGAAAAGTTATATTAAAAAGATACTTAAAAGGTTTTGATAAAGAAAGCATAGCACAAAATAAGAGGATGTTTGGCTAAGCGTAAAGCTGGTCAAAGTTAATTTTAAGAGGATGTTTGCTAGAAAACAAGCTACTTCATTTCAATAGGTTTTGGCAAAAAAATAAAAAGATTTTTTAAAGACCAGCCACGGGTTACTTACCAAAAAAGAAGGCAATTTTTAAAAGTTAAACCAAGTGAATGATCTATATACCCTCAACTTCACAATAGAAACAAATCATGAAAATAGTATATGATTTTTGGGACATTTGCCACATTTTATTTAATAGTTAATTCATTTGCAAACATAAATTTACTTAAAAGTACATTTTACCCAAGCCTACCTACACAAGAAGTTAAATCACTTCTTTTTGTAAGCTTAGCCAAACCTGCTCTAAATCCAAATACTCGTTGATTTTATGAAGAGCCGAGACTTTTGGGGTCACTGATTTGTTCATTCTAAATCAAAACCAAAAAGTAACACAATATTGAGAAGTAGAAATTTTATTCTATAGAAATGAAGCCACCAAACAACGAGTCTTAAACTCTAGAAAACCCTACAACCTCAACTCTAGGTTTATTAAAATTGTAAATAACTCGTAAACTATTAATAATAACAAAAGACCCTATGTTACTAAATAAAAAGGAAATACATTTTAAAAAAACATTGTAACCATGAACCCGAGCCTAATCTATCTGACTATTTGTGTTCCATCTTCCTCAGATTGATAAAGATTCAACCCTTGTTTGAGCCCCATTTGGGGGGAAAATGTACTTTCGGATAGTGTATTAATGAGAAATGTGTGGTTAAAAAATAAAAAATAAAAAAATTGGAATTTGAAGTGAAATATCATTTTATTGAAGAATATGTGGTTAAAATGATATAAAAACACCGTTTAAGAATGGATTTTTTCAAAGAATGGGCTCAAACAAGGGCTCACTCTCAAATCGCTCACCATATTCGCATCCAACACCTTGTAACAACAATCCATTGTCCATTAATACGTCTTTCACACGGGCCCTTGTTGATCATTTATATGAAATTCCAAGCATAACATCGTCTTTAGCATGATTAGAAAAAGAGACACAATTCAATTTTGATTGGACAATTCCGCTTTAGGACAAGAGAAGCACACGTTCCAATCCCATTGAAATTTTTTAACAGTCCAGGCTCAATCCGAAATGATAATTAGAATAGGCCGGTCTTAGAATGGCTCCAGGGGCATGTTTCAACTAGTTTCAGGACGATTCAAGCCAACCCACCCAGTTTAACTTGTTATTGTGAATTCTTTAAGGGTAGCTTGTATTTGTGTTGTCGTTACATGTGTAGTCTTGAAGGTTGTACACAAATCGGGCAAGTATCTGTGTGGAGCTCATGAAGATGTACGCCCATTTTTGCCAAACCTCTATAAACTTAGTCTTCGTTGTTTTTCTTCTATTTCTTTAAACTTGTATGTTGGTTGTGATCCTTTGTGAGGTTATCAACACAAGGTAGAAAATCCGTCGGAATTCAATCTTTTAATGGTGTATCCTTAAGAAGCCATTGGGGAAGAGGGTAATGTAAATACTAATGCAAGTAAATCAATCGACTAGCAATATTAATCAAATGCTGCAATTAGGAATTATCTTACTAATGCAAAATTGGAAAGTAAATTCTAGATGTAAACGGAATCAAATCAATTAAGGATCAAATTTTCATTATTGCATTTTATTGGTTTTGGCAGAATAGTAAATTTTTCTCCTTTTAAACCCTATATAAAAGGGTCTTTTGCGTTGTAATAGAGCAACCTTTGATTATGAAATACACTGATATTCTCCCCCTATTTCTCTCTATACTCTCCCCCTTCTTCTCTCTTTTCTCCCTCCTTTCTCCTCTTTCACCTTTCCTACAATTATCTTATTGCATCCTACGTCAATTACCTACATTAGTGTTCTGCTTATGAGCAGGAAGTACAAACTGTAGTTTTTTTCTCATTCACCTCAATGATAAATATTCAAGTTATGCCAATGAATTAGGATTGACTACTTAAGTTCTATCTGTATACCGTGACCTCCATTAAGTAGAATATGCACATTGATTTTTGTTCTTTGCAATGCCAAAATACACGATAGAAATTTCAGATATGAAACATCAGTAACACGAGAAGCAAAAGGCATCATTTTAGAGTGTTACAGACTGCATTTACAACACGCTTTTCCAAGTCAAATGAAGGCCATGCTCATCTTACCTCTTTGATGAGAAGAAAATTTATTAATATATTTTATAATAAGATATGAAAAATGCATCAGAATTGTTGTTAAAAGTTAAATTAGAAGGATCCCTACCTACAGATAATTTAAAATCACGGAATACTAAATCTACTAAAGATGTATCAGATATAAAAGCATAATAGTTGATTTCAGGACATATGCTAAGCACAGAAAAGTCCTCTAGCAAATCAACCATGAACAGAAGTAACTAAAATTTATATCATAGCAGAGGCAACCATTTAAGTTTTGACAGTACCCTTAAATCACGAGCTCCATGAGGACTGCTTGCAATTTTTGGCCTGAAAGCCTGTGGATTACGCTCCAGTGTAGCTTCAACTGCTTCTCGTCTGGCTTCGTCATTTTCAATGTTGTTATGACAATTCACACAGTTGCATCCATCGCAATATACGCCAGATGCAAAGCATTCGCAATACCTGACCATTAAAAGATTATACGTCATAAAAAAAACACCCACAAGGAAAACCAGCTTGCAGTTAATGCACACATGCTGAATAGCGTTAGAATTCAAACCATTGGACTGTCCGCATTCGAAAGAGACAAAATTATCAGTTCAGAAGATGTATACTGAAGTGAGTGAGAAACCCAAAAGGTATCTGTCAATTGTCATGGTTAACAAAAGTCTTCAAGAAAGTATAAACAGTTTGCTTTATTGCCCACTTGCCACCATAATTTAGATATTGGTTAATAAATGAACATACAACTAAGTCTTTTGAATATTTGTTACCCAATAAGTGCCACAGTTATCTTATAAAAGATTATTTCACAATACAAATGTTGCTAAAAGGGAAAGAGATTATTTAGCATCAAGTAAATATATCAGTATAGCAATCCAATGTGTGATGATCTTTCTATATGCTATAAACATCAGTTAAGATCTCTAAACAAGTCCGTCCATAATTGCAGTTATTCTGAGTCATCACCTAAAATACCTGTGGCTAGACTTATGATATCCTCAAAAACACACACAAGTGAGTGGCAACAGTTATCAGCATTGATTACATATAGCTGGAACTTGAAAGACCTGAATTTGAATTATCTCAAAAGAATTATATCAGAGATCTAGTCCAATAGTTTAATTACAAAAATTGGCCTATTCCTGCCAAGACCACTAATATATGACTAAAGCTCAAATGTGAAAGCAACAAGTCTGTTCCATGTCCTTGATTTTGACAATGTTGAAGCAATGGATGCACCAGCTGGCACATAGTGTATAGACTATCCTATTGGCTGTTGCTTAAGCTGTAACACTCATACTGAATCCATCACTTCCCCACCTTTACTACCATATTGGCTGTTGCTTAAGCTGTAGCCCTCACTACATAAATATCATGGCAAGAATGTGAAGGAATCAACATATTTTAAGTCAGGCTATGTCATACCACAAAATACATAAAATGAGACACCTACTTACAATTTTAAACACCGTGAGTGTTTGCAGTTACACTGCTTTGGCTTCTTTGGAGTACCATCTTTAACTTCAGCTAGATTTTGCCTCGATCGCACTCTTGGGGATTCAGGTTTCCTGAAGGAATGAAGAGTATGAATTATAACAAAATAGCAAGAGAACTGTCTTGGTATATCAATTATATATGCTGCATGCATAATATAGGCACAAGTGGAGATCATTCGACAGTCAATCAAAGGTATCAAATGCTTATCCCTTTCACCATTTAACAGTCCGTAAAGTAAAAGAACCAAGATGGAGAACCATTCCGGTATTAAATTTAAATTTTCATCTTCATATGATTAGGCATCAGAAAACAAGAATGGAACAGAAGAATCTGCTAGGATGTACTTCTAGAGCTATTATGCAATGAAAAATACAAGCATGCAATCCAAATGATTGAAATGTCATTAACCCATAAATATGTGGCAAGCAGACTAAAGGCAAAAAAATACATGGGAATCTTCTGGTGCACATAAGCAGATAATTTGTTATATGTGCACCACAAACAAAACAATGCCGAATACAGAGATTACAAGTATAAACTATTTACGGAATTACTTAGCGAGGTAACCCAAAATATGATGTTGGAACAAGAGAATAGGCATTAGCATCCACTTTGGTAGTGATGTAACCCCCAAATTACTCATCAGCTGAGTGAAAATCAAAAGAGTCAAAGACACAAAGACTTCCACAAAAGTTTCTAACTTAACCAGCTAAATTAGATTTGGAAGGGCCAGAAAGAATTTTGAATTACAAATTAACGATCAGTCTAACGAATTTGTCTTTCAAATTAATAAAAACAATTAAATAACAAAATTGTCTATCTGGGGAGCTCATTATATAATTAACGAATTCTAAGATCGTTCTGAAAATTATGAATGCTCAGAATGAAAAGATCTAAACTTTATAACTGAACTCAAATAACTGATCAAACAAACCCAGAGATTTTAAAAATTTTCTAAAATTTAGCTGTATATAAATCACTTTTCTCCAAAACATCAAAATTGTTCAACAAATTTAGATTCGGAGTAGAAAAGACTCACAACGCAGGTCGAACGGAAGGATGAGAGGAAGGTACGGCTGGTTGCATTGTCAAAAGTGGAATCTGTGGCAGCGGCGGAGGCTTTGGCGGCTGATTTTTCGGCTTCACTAACTGTGGATGCTGCTGCTGGATAAGATGGCTTGGCGTCTGTGATTGCTGCGGTTGAGATACCTCCGCCAACGCCAATCCCACGGACGATGATGCGCCATCTCCGGACCCCGTAAAATCCAGTTGTCTCGCCGGATTCCTGACCGGAAAATCAGCGGCAGCTGCTGGAGTAGCCTGTGAGTGCTGCGGCCCTTTTGGAAGGAAATCTCCTCCCTCACTTTGTTCCATTAAAAAGGGGCAAAAAAAAAAAAAAAAAAGGAAACAAATATAACGCAATTTTTCGTATCAGTAAACACGAATTATACAAGTGTCCTCACTGGAACACCCAAATTTGAGGGAATATCGAAATTCAAAATCTTAAAAAGGGCAAAAATCTGGAATTAAAGACTGGTCTCTGTTTACACAGGTCGGATTCAAACAAAAATCCAATAAACATGACAGGCTCTAAATTTCCTCACTAATTAACCTCAATCAAGAAGCCTCTTGATCCGTATTTATGTATAGAATTACGTATATAAATACAAAAACACATACGAATAATTTGTGTAAGAAAAAAAAATAAGAGGGGGGATTTTCGAACGAGAAAGGTTGGAGGCTTTGAGTAGCTCCTCCCTCTCTGGCTTAGCTTTTGAAATTCAATTTTACAAATTTTGGACGGTCAGATTTAGCTGATAATCTCATCGTACGGTTTCCACCAAGAATATTGAATCCAACGGGTAAAATTCATAGAAGCCACAAAGGTGGATTTTGGGCCGCTGGATCATTGGAGTCCGATTTTAAAGGAGAATTGTAGCATGTGGTGAAGAATTGTCCAGTGTTGTCAATTCGAACGTGGAACTTAACTCTGAGCTGCCACGTCATGGACTATTGTTAGATGATTGGAGGATATAGGAATGGTCCACGAGGGTCGTGAGTAGGTGAATATTTGTAATAGTATTGGGAGATTCTGTTTCGAGAAAACAAAATATTAAAATAAAATAATAATATTATGGCGCTACATGGCAGGACGCCGTTGACTTGCCGGCAAATGGTGAGCGAATTAAAGAAAATTTTGTGAAAAAGATCTTTTAAAGGGAAAATTATAGTGCTAGGTTCGATTCAAAAATAATTTTTATTTTAGAGAAAATTCTAACACCTTTATTATAAGTACGAACATAAGCATAAACATTAAAGGGACTGAAAATACCAACTTTGATCTTGTTTTCAACCTCAATGGAGTAATAGTAACGAATGTCATCTCTCTATTTTAACTACTAGTCGCCAAGCAATGAGCATGATTTTTTTATGGAACATTTATAATGAAATTGGGACTCCACTCAAAATGTCACTTTTCTACAATAGAAATCATGAAATGATTGACTAAAACTTTACATATATATATAAGATCTCCTAGGCACTAGTGCTTAAATTATGTTAAGTATCGATGACATGGTACACCGTGAAATAAGTACCAATGACATGGCACACCATTTAATCGGTGAATAACCATTATTTTGTGTGTGTGTGTGTGTGTATTTCTGCTCCCAGCCCATCGCTTGCATTTTTATACTACATAGTTCAATCGAATTTTAAATAAATAATTAAAAATTAAAATTAAAAATATAATAATAATAATTCCCTTACTCACCCCCATCTTCCACCACCACCATTTGTCCCACCTTACTCCACCATCATCACCCACATCCGACTTAGCCCCCGTTTGAACCTCATTATTTCTCATTACATTAAATTAAATTTTTCTCTCCTACTTTTAACCACACAATTTTCAATAAAATAATATTACACGTAAATCAAAAACTTTTCAACCACTCATTTTTCAAAAAAACATTATTCATCTCACTATAATTTACAAATAATGGAGCTCAAACGGCCCCTTAACATATCTCACTGTCACCATCACCACCAACGTGAAGATGAAGTACTAAACATGCTCTGCCAACCATGCCGCTGCCACCACGAATTGCAATACCAAACCTACACCGCCAACCCATTCGACCCAAAGTCAATTTTGGGCCAAGGCAAGTAAGGTACATGCCTCAAGCCCAAAAATTTAATTGAGGTATCAAAATAAATGGGCAAGTGAGGCCCACGCCTCAATTTTTTATTTTTATTTTGATACCTCATTCCTACCCGTCTGTCTTCATTAATTCCTTTGTGTCAAGTGTGTACAATTGTGCGAGAGCCGAAAAGAACCAGAGAAAGGCGAAACCCACATTACCCATCCCTACCTTGATGGCTTGGCGTCGCCATCTTTTGTCTTCTCACTTCTTTCTCAGCCATCCACCGTCATCGTGTCGCGTCACTACCTGCCTATCGATATAAAATATGATTTCTATGGATTCCTTCTTCTCTTTTTTCATCAAAGACTTTCTCGGATGAAGTGGATATGAATAGGGCTGTTTTATTGAAATTTTGTCTTTATTATTGGGGATAAGATGGAGTTTGGTATTGGCCAATGGCATTAGGTAGTATTTGTTTACCACTTTTTCTCATGCTTTTAGTTGTAACTCAAAGCACACATGGTTTTTAATAATTTGTTGTTGGAGAATAGTATAGGGATAAAACTTGAACATCAACCTATATATATTAATAACAATTCTTCACTTTTGAGATTAAGATTAGTAAAAAGACAAAAACAAACATAACTCATTGGAGGTTTACTAATGCATATCTCAATTGTAAGATTGCTTTGAGACAAACACAACTCATTCGAGATTACAATTACTTTGAGGTTTACAGTTTATAGATGCACGTCAATTGTAAGAATTTTAGGAATTTTGGATGTTGTGGTTGTACAATTTAAAGGTGTTAGATTTATAGGTGCCAAATTGAAACCATGTCACAAACTTAAGTATACACAAAGAAAAAAAAGGTTAATTATAAGTAATTATCTTGTAATCTAAATGGTTACTATTAAATTTATCTTCAATAATTAATTGGTTGTTGTGGTTCTATCAAATTATGATTTCAGGATTGTGAGTTGTGACGGTGGAATTCTCAAAGTACCACATCGTGTCATTTCATAATTTTTGTTCAAGTCCCATTTCTCAAGTGAGCAATGGTTTGTCCTTGCTTACTTATAAACATATAGGAAATATTTGAAGCCTTGTCGGCTTATATGATTGCATTGTAGTATTGCACCCTTGTCGAATAATATTGATTTTTTTTTTAATTTTAATCGTAGGATCAATTGCACAAGCGCACATTGTCATATATCATGGTGCTTCCTAAATATGAAACTAGAACTCAAAAAAGTAAAAGGAAACGAAATAAGTTGATATTAATTTAAAGTCAAGTTGGAGATATTGACAAGTAATTCAATAGAAACAATGTGAATGGATTTACTAAGATCGAAGAAGTTATTGAACGTGCTAGTATAAATGAGATAGAGGAGAAGGGAGAAGATGATGTTCAACGTGAAATTTTAAATTAAGGGAGTATCTTTTCTTTGAATTTGGAGGATTTTGGGAATTGGAAAAATGTTGATTAAAAATGAGGAACTATTTAGTTGAAATGGGTTAAAAAAGAATTGATGACACCATGTTTTCCAAAGATGGTGCAAATAGACATTTCAATTTTTCATTATATAAGCAATTACTACAAAATGGACAGACAATTGATAGAAGATGACTAGTATATCTTAGTATCCATGGATATGAATTTTTTTGCTTTTGCGGCAAGTTGTTTAAAACACTAAAAACTTCCACAAGAATTGATTAATTAGGTAATAATAGATTCATGGGTTGACACAAATTGCGATGGTCTATTAAAATTCATGAAGGAAATGAGAAGCATTTACGTTACATGACTAGTTGGATTGAATTGGAAAATAAGTTTCGAACAAAAAATACAATTCACAAAATGTGAAATTAGTATTTACTTGATCTTTTGGAACATTGTTTGCATCTTTATTTGATTATAATAATAAATTTTACTATGAGCTTGTTTGAGCCATATTTTTGGTGTAGAATGCAATCTGGAATAATAGATTGATGGAAAATGTATGATTAAAAATTAAGAGTTTTAGGTTAAAAAACGTGTGGTCGAAAAGAATAGTGAGAAAAATTTATTTTGAAAATAATGAGGATCGGCCAAAGGTACATTCCTTTTTTTTTTTTTTTTTTTTTTGTTTTACAGTTAAGTATTTAGTGAACAAGTTGACTGTTGGTACCATAATACACATATATTTTGCATGCATAATACAATTTAATTTTATTTTTATTTTTTTTGGGTAGAGGAGGCCTAATTTATGAAGTTGACCTCAGGTCCCTAAAATCACAAAACCGACCATAGTTACAAAACTCGGCGCAAACTGATTGGTCGGTCCGAAGAATGGGTGACCTGGGCCCTTGACTGGGCCGGGTAAAACATTTTCATAAAAATGCAATTGACTCGATCAAAATCGAGTTGACCCATCGATTTGACCAAGTTGACCAAGCATTTTTATATTACCTCGATCGGCTGACTGGTTTGACCAAGATTTAAAAGTCCATCCATAAACTTTTTGTTCTTAAAAGAATTGAACTTTGGGCTTCTAATTAAATTGAGTACCACGTAACCACTAAAGATCAGACGGATAATTTAAATTTTTTTATTTTATCTAAAAGAAAAACTTTATACTTCAAAAAATATTTTATAATTATTAAATATTGATCCACCGATTTAACCACTAACCTACCGTTTCGATCAGTAACCCGAGACCTGGTGCCTCGATTGGGTCAGATTTAATAACTATGGAACCGACATTGATTCTAACCCCACGCGCTCACTTGTCACTAGCCCAACCTCCTGTCATTGTCGTCAGCACAACATGAAAAAAAAATCCAAAATTATATTCATAAAAAATACATATTCCAGATCTAAATATATTGTACCTAGCTCGTTCAAGAATCGAAATTTCAAAAAGGGTAATTATTTTACCACTACAAAATTTAATTATTACACCACATTATAATCACACCACAATTAAAATATATTTTCAATAAATATACCACAACAAATTTACAATTATACTCCTAATATAATAAAACCTAAAAAAAATAAAAAAATACAATATTATGATATACTCATCCTCCTAATATACTTCATCTTTATTTTATTTTTTCTTAGAATATGTTTTTCTCTTTCTGCTTTCATCTCCATAAGTGTTGACACATTGTAAGTTTTTCATTATTCACCACCTAATAATTTAACTGCAACATACATGGCTTGGGTATACTGGCCATTTACCCGCAATAATTAGTTTCCATAATTTTTTTTACCAAGACTTATCTGAATTTTTAATTCATTGAATTCAAATGTAGCAAACCAGTTTTCTCCGAATAAGTGTAAACAAACCCAAGAAATTCGTCTTTACCAATTTTGATGTCATGTTGGTGTTGTTCAACTTTTTTAATTTTTATTTTATTTTATTGCTTGTGGATGAATCTTTAGTAATTTACTACAGTATGCAGGTGGTGGTGCTTCTATGTCGGAAGCGTAGGCGGCATCAGAAAGAGGGGATCTTTTATTTATTCTAATTAATTCTCAATTCATCAAACCACCAGATTAAGAAATACAAAAAAATATGTATAATAATAATAATAAAAAATCATGGAAT